CTCAACGGCACTAACAACAAATGAGTTCCCATGTGGTGCAAATGGTTGGTGTGCTCACTGCTAATGAAAAAGCTGGAGGTTTGAGTCCACGCAGAGGCATCTCAGAAGCAAGGTCAGATGATCTGTTTCTGAAATATCAGCCATTGGAAACCTTTGGAGCACAGTTCTACTCTGACACACATGGATAGAATCGCTTTGAACTGAAATTGATTTGATGGCAATAGGATTAATATGCTACCTGGACAATTCTTTCTCAATATAATTATGAAACTGAGTACTAATTCATCCAGGAAATATTTAGTGAATACCCACTACTTTGTTGTGGTGTGGCACTGTGGGTTAATGTGCCAGACTGCAAAGCCGTTTGAACTGCAGGGTCGGCAGTTCAAGCTCACCAGCTGCTCCTCGAAACCCTATATAGGGTCACTATGGGTCAGAACCGACTTGACAGCACTTTAACAACAACAAAGTAGTGCTGTTGTTGTTGTTAAGTGTTGTTGAGTCAGTTCCGACTCAGATTGACCCTGCATAAGGTTTCTGAGGAGGAGCTGGTGGATTTGAACTGCCGACCTTGCTTGTTGTCCAGTGCTTAGCCTACAGTGCCACACCAAGACTCCACCTATTACTTTGGTGGTGGTGTGTATCGTAGAGTCGGTTCCGACTAATAGTGACCCTGCATAGGGTTTCTGAGGCTGTAAATCTTTACAGGAGCAGAAAGCCTCATCTTTCTCCCATGGAGCCGCTGGTATTTTCGAACTGCTGACCTTGAGGTTAGCAGCCCGACTCCTTACCTACTACTTTAGTGAATATCAAACCAGTGGTGAGAAAGCAAGCATAAATTCTATCCACAAAGGAATTCTTTCCAGGTAGAATTCATATTGATACAAGGCAATTACATACATTTCTCTTTCACTTTGAAATTAGTAAAATTTAAACTGGCTGACTAAGTTGTTTTTGAGTGAGCACCAGATTACTTTGTTTTTTCACATAATGAATTGTTGTTGTCAGGTGCCATCGAGTCGGAACCGACTCATAGCGACTCCATGCACATAATGAATACGTTATCATTTTTCCTGGTCTATTTTTCCCAGTGCTGTGCTCGTATTTTCTTTCTTTTTTTAATATGAAACTGTCATAGTCAAGAAAAGAGTTCTTGAATGATCAGGTCTGATTTTTGTTTTAGGGCAGGAAGGCTCAGTTTATCTTTTATGTCTAGAAACTGGTGGCCTGGACAGGGCTAACCAAGCACAGTGAATGTATACCATAACTGGAGAGCTCACAGGCTCACTCAGATTGAGTGGTATCCATTGGGGTGCTGTGAAAACAATCTCCCCAGTGTTAGTCATTAGAGCTCTAGGGAGTGTCCTCAGGTATGTTTAGAGTAGACAAGCAGACAGTGCCCTGAGATCCTCTGAAACTCTATATGGGGTCGCTATGAGTCAGAGCTGACTCAATGGCACTCAACAACAACATACCCTTTGCCATAAATTAGGTCAATGATCTTACTCCTGATTTACAGCTAAGGTGAATTTCTTAGTTTCCAGTTTATCTATTCATCAGTTCATTTAACATTTCTGAGTGGCTCTTATGAACTAGAAGCTGTGCTTGGTGCTCAAAACACAAAGGCAAAAACAACAGAGCCCTTTGCTGTCCAGAGATCAGTTGGATCAAACGATAGTAAAATGCATATGCCGTTGTAAATATAATGTTGCTTTTAAGGTGTCCTGGTGTGGCGCTGTGGGTTAATGTGCTAGACTGTACACTCAGTTTGAACTGCAAGATTGGTGGTTCAAGCTCACCAGTTGCTCCTTGGAAACCCTCTAGAGGGTTGCTATGTGTCAGAACCAACTCGACGGCACTTAACAACAACAACAATAATGGACTTCTGGAGTCCTGGTATGGTGCTATGGGTTAATGTGCTGGACTACAAGGTCTCTTTGAACTGCAAGGTCAGCAGTTCAAGCTCACCAGTTGCTCCTCGGAAACTCTATACAGGGTCATTATTAGTCGGTAGTGACTTGACGGCATTTAACGACAACAATGGACTTCTGGTGTGGTGCTGTAGTATCAGCACTGGATTAAGAACCACAAGGTCGGCAGCTCAAACTCATCAGCTCAGCTGCTCCCTGGAAACCCAGTACAGGGTTGCTGTGAGTTGGAACCGACTCGACAGCACTTCACAACCACAAGGGTTCAGTGGCTAAGTGTTTGTATGCTAAATGAAAATTGTCAGTTCAAACCCACTAGCCACTTTGCAAGTGATAAATGTGTAGCTTGGAAGATGAGGTTGCAATTCCAGTCTGTCTTGAAGGGTTGCTGAATCACAGTTGACTCAACAGCAGTGGGTTTGTGGGTTTTGGTACACTGATTTTTAAACACAAAACTCAACATAAGGACATCTTTGGACCAGGATTCCATTAATTGATATGTACATATAAATTTAGAATACAGATATTACTAGTGTCCTATAAAATGAATGTTTTATGAGAAGATGCAGTTCTGGTGTGGTGCTATATGATAAGCACTGGACTGCAAGCTCATTTGAATTGTAGGTCAGAGGTTCAAACTCACCAGCCACTCCTTGGAAACCCTACATAGACAGGGTCACTACGAGTCGGTTCCGACTCGATGGCACTTAACAACAACAACATCTGAAAAGATGACCCCCAAACCAGACCCACTGCCATTGAGTCAATTCAGACTCATAGGACGTGAATCTTTATGGGAGTAAGCAGCCTAATCCTTCTCCCATGGATTGGCTGGCATTGACTAAAAACAAGGCTCCAGGAACTAACAGAATAAAAAGGGAAAGCCTGCAACAAGCTGATGTTGTGCAAGAAGCAGGCACTCACTTTTCCATGCCAGGAAATGTTGAAGATAGTTACCTTGCCAACCAACAGGAAGAGATTCATATTTGTGGGAAGCATATTAAAAGTATCATGGACTATCTTTCTTAGGAGAAGTACAGGCAGAATGCTTCTTGGAAGTGAGGATGGCAAGAATTGGACTCTTGTACTTTGGACATGTTGTCAGGAAGGATCAGTTCCTGGAGAAGGACAGCATGCTTGGTAAAGTGGAGGGTGAGTGAAAAAGAGGAAGACTCCCAATGACATGGATTGACACAGTGGCAACAATGGGCTCAAGTTTACCAGTTGTGAAGATGGTGCAGGCAGTATTTTGTTCTGTGGTACACAGGGTTGCTATGACGTAGTACTAACTCAACAGTACCTAACAACAACAACTGATCGATTTTAGAAGCTTGAGTTTTGCTCTACATTTTTCTCATATTCTATCCAAGACCTTCTATTATGTCCCTGGTGAGAACAGTCAGTAGTGGCAGCTGGACACAATCTAGTTCTGGTCTCATGTAAGAAGCGATTCAATTAGTCTATTAGTCCCATGGAGTTATGAGGTGGAGCTGTAGGATAAGCACTGGACTGCAAAACACAAGGTCTGTGATTCAAACCTACCAGACACTCCTTGATAATTCTATACAGGGTCATTATGTGTCAGAACCAACTCGACAATACTTAGTAACAAAAACAACATTAATCCCATGGACTAATTTAAAAAAAATTTTTTTTGAATCTTTGCTTTCCTTCATTCTTTTTTGCTCCATATGAGTAGAGTACAATAGTTATATCTTAAATAGCTATCCATAAACTTTTAAGAGCTCAGATATTACTCACCAAACAAGGATGCAGAACATTATCTTTGTAAATTGATATGATTATTGACTAAATTGCCCCCTTAGACTTTGATTCCAAACCTTTTGAACCCGTAAAGCAATCCTGTAAATTGTTTGGATATGTCTAAGAAGCCTCCATAACTGCTTCTTTATGTGGTTTGTTGTATGTGTGGGTAAACAGCACAAAAACATATGTATACATATGCCTACAGATACACCTATGCATACACATGTATTCACTCACATATACCTTCTTATATGAGAAGGGCTTTTAAACATTTCATGGGAAAACTCCATTATCTTTTCCCCCTTCTCCATTTCATTCCATTTTTCCATTAATTTTTTGAAGTCTTCTTACATATAAATCCATTTCTACCTATATAACCACATACTTATTTTACAGTTGTTTTTACTGTTGCAAAATTGTATATGTTAAAGCATGTACTGAAGTTGTATCTTTTTCTTGTGTACTTTGTAGTGTTTTTATTTAGCTTGGTCACGTTGTGCTTATTTCACCCATAGTTAGGATTACCTTTCCCATTATCAAAAGTATCAAATATCTATTAACAAGAAACTGATTTCCCCTTCCTCTCCCTTCTATCCGTAGTGACCATCAAAGAACTTTGTTTTCTGTGTGTATCTATTCTTGACTTTTTATAACAATGAGGGAATACAATATTTGCCTTTTGTGATTGATTTACTTCATCCAGCATAATATCTTTCTCAACTACAAATTTTATGAAATCCAAATACAGATTGAGTATTTACAAGAAAAAGTTAGCATCCAAATTGAGTATGTTATAAATATAGAATTCACACTGGATTTCAAAGGCATAGATATGGTGACAAAAGGGATACAAAGTACTTTTTAAATGATTTTTATATTGATTACATGTTGAAATGAAGACATTTTTATATATTATTAAATGAGTGGCACAAATGGTTAAGCACTGCACTGGTAACCGAAAGGCTGGTGGTTCGAGCCCTTCTAGAGGTGACTTAAAAGAAAGGCTTGGAGTTCTACTTCCCAAGTTCACAACCTTGAGAACCTTGTGGATCGGTTCTACTCTGTAACAAACACATGGGTACCTATGAGTTGGAATCCACTCAACAGCAACTAATAACTAGGGAAAAAAAAGTTAATGTATGGCTAAAAACATTTTTCTAGACAATACTGCTTTAGACAATCACAAGTGTTTTTCTCAAAGGGAGTATATACTTTTTGAAAGAGCATACTCAAAAGACAATATAGTTAGAAGGATGATGGTACATGAGAAATGGCTATCAAACATTACGAATGGGACAGTTTTACCTTACTTGAGGTGGTGGAATTCCTACCACTATGCAATCCAACTGTACTCGGGTTCCTTCTGGAACTTCTCGGCTCCGTAACTTTTGAGTGAACCGAGGAGGTTGTCCCAGAGGTTCTTCATAGTACAATGATGAAGGTGAAGACCCTGGGGTAATGTCTCCACCAGTAGCCTCATTGGCAGCTTCCAGTCTTTTGGCTTCTTGCCGTTCAAGGGCATGGTTCACTTCATTATCTCTAGTATCTGCAGGAATGGGGATGGGAACAGATCTTTCTCGTGTCTCTGACAGATCTGAGAAACTGGAGCTGTTTTCCTGCATTACTTTGTTTTGGGATTCTAATTTGCTCTTGTGGTTTTTGCAGGCACGGGGTCTAATCCTTTTGGAGCTATGTGCTTTGAAAAGAGAGGACAACTCTTCAATGAAATCGGCAGCCTTGTTTAAGAAAACTTTTTTGGACTGGGTTTCTGAACTATATTGTGGCTTTTTTGCTACCTCGTTAGAGCTGGTATGACGTTGAGTGTTATCCTGGCAGAAGTTAGGGTCAAAACTTGATTTAGGTGAATGTTTCATCTGATCAGAAGAAAGACGTTTTCGACCTTGAGAATCATCTGCTTTCTCCAAAGGGTCATGATTGATGGCCAGTCTTGCCAGATTGACACTTTCATCTAATTCTTCTTGGCTCAGAAAAGCAGAAAGATCTGGAAGATCATCTTGGCCTCCTACACCTTCAGCAGCTCCAGAAGGACCGCCAAAATGAAAAGCGTTGGAAGAAGGCTCTGCTCTACTTCTCTCATTGTTTCCCCGATGTCTGGTTTCAGCTAAGTAGCTTTCTCTTAGAAGTTGAGATATGGAAGTAGAAGCTTCTATGCTGTCGTCTTGCATGCTGTCACAAAATAATAATAATCACAAAAAGTTTGGATCATTTCTAGGGAATAGCAAGCCTATGTTTATTATAACATGGTGAATTCCTAAGAACTTAAAACTTGAAATAAAGAATTGCTTTAAGTGTGGTATTTTAGAAACTCTATTTTCAAAATTTATGCATTATTCTGAAATTTAAAAATAAATAGGAATTGAATAAGTATTTCCAGAAACTGAAATTGAAAACATTGTTGATTGCCTCTTTATTAAACTCTTTAAATATGTCTAATTGTGGAAGCTATGCTGTCATTGTAAATACCATTAAGTCAGTTCTGACTCATAGCGACCCTGTATAGGGTTTCCGAGGAGTAGCTGCTGAGCTTGAACTGCCAACTTTGCAGTCCAGCACACTAACCCACAGCACCACATTAGGACTCCATGATATAACTATAGTGACCTTAAATACAATTTTAGTATGTAATTTTGATAACACCTGTAAAGGGCTTTGAGTTACAAAGTGCTTTCATAGACAAATAGAGATTTTCCCTCACGTCTACACCACCTTTGCCTTGGATATAATAGAATTATAACAATTTAGAGATATTGAAAACATAATCCACCTAGTTATTAAAAAATATGAATTTATCTAACTCGTGAAAATAAATGCTTTAGTTATCTGACTAGGGGCAAGTTGTTTAAACTTAATATTGCTTATATATATATGTTCAATCTATTCTTGAAAACTGATTATTTAGCTTCTTCAAATAAAGTAAAATTAATTTAATTTCTACCAAGATGAGTTAGAAACTAAATTTAAAAAAAAATCTTTTATATTAACATTGGTTAGGAGGGACTAGGAGTGGCACTATAGGCTACGCACTGAACTGTTAGCCCTGAAATTGGCAGTTCAAACCCACCAGCTGCTCCTCGGAAACCCTATACAGGGTCACTTGGAGCCAGAATGGACTCAAGGGCACTGAGCAACAATAATAACAAGAGAGAATATGAGAGACAGGCAAATAGAGGTACTAGGCTGGAGATTTTTCACTGTACACCTTTCCTAACTTTTGAATTTTAGTTATATCAATATTGTTGTTAGGTATCGGTGAGTAGCTTCCAACTGATAGTGATCCTATGCACAACAGAATGAAACTGCCTGTTACTGCCTATTAAAATATGTTGTTGTTGTTAAGTGCCACCGAGTCGGTTCCAACTCATAGTGACCCTGTATAGGGTTTCCAAGGGGCAGCTGGTGAATTTGAACTACCAACCTTGTGGTTCAAACTGACCTTGAGGTCCAGTGCTTTATCCCAGAGTGCCACACCATGATTCCAATATGTTGCCTATTAAAAATACATACTTTTTTGTCTTAAGAAAACAGTTCAACAACGTTAGTTCAAAGGTTCCCTGAACTAAAAAATCTGATAATGCAAATGAAATCTATATTATTAATATTGTATACATTTATTCATTCAAACAATAACAAACCTCAGATTACTCATCTGTAAAGTGGGGTAATAAGGGTAACCACCTCATAGGTCAAAGTGATGATTAAATTAAACAAATGTGCCTGACATTTAGTAAGTTGCGGTTGTTATAATGTCAACTTCGACTATATTTCATGGTTTCCACTTTTAGATGAAAAGTGAAGTCAGAACTAGTGAAGTGACTGGATCCAAGGGCAAACTTTGAAGAGACTCTGAACTCTAGACTTGTAGCTAATTCACTGTATCTATATTCTATTGCTGAAATTCAATTTTGTACTACCAATTGCATTTTGTGTCACTGTAGAATAACCACTGGACTGCTAAACTGCAAGGTCGGCAGTTCAAACTCACCAGTACTCCTTGAAGAAAAGCTGAGACTTTCTGCTCCTACCAAGATTTATAGCCCCAGAAATCCTACAGGCTTGCTCTGAATCAGAATCAACTTGATGGCAGTGGGTTTGGATTCAGGATTTATAACCTATTGAAATACATAAAGTCTCTCTGCCTTCAGATTTTTGTATATATTCTCTGCTTGGCCTGCCCTCTATGCCCATTCCTCTTTACTACCTCACCTGGCCAAATGCTACATGGTCTTCAACTCTTAGCTTAGTCATTACCCACTCTTGGATTTGTTCTCTTGCCTGGGTTGTGCACCTCTCTCCAGTGTGTTCCCAAATCTTACTGTCCTTACCTCCAAGCATAATATTTATGACAGTAAATGAAATGTGTTTATTTATTTATTTATTTTTGCATTACTCACTTTATTTTGGATACCATCATATCTACACACACAACTTAAAGTATGTGATCAACAAATATTGGTTGAATTCTTTTTTTCACTAGAATTTCCTTAGAAATTTATTGGTATTTATTCTTTTTTCTCTTTTTAATTGTAGTGTGATGTAGGACTGATAAGTAGATACTCAATTTACAAAGAAAACTTGTAGACACAAAGAAATAAACATAAAGTGGTTAAGGCAATCATAACTTTAAAGTGATTTTCAAATAAAACTTCCTTTATGCTAGATAAAATAACTGGGATCATGTTTTGATTTAATACTGGAATTATTATAGGACTTCTGATTATAAACAGAAAACCTGGGTATGAATCTAGCTTCAACACTAAATAAGTTTGATATCTTGGACAAGTCACTTAATATGTCTGAACTTCAGTTTTCTTCATCTAAAATGTGTGTTTAAGTTGTTAAAGTGATAAATACTACCTAAAATAAGACATAAAAAATATGTCACTTTCTTCTTAAAGCATTAACTTAAAAACTATGTTACAAAAATTGTACTTAAAAAATGTAGGTGTCTTTTATTCATTCAATAAATATTTACTGAGCATCTACTGTATGCCTATGCATAACAGAATAAAATACTGACCAGGCCTGAGCTAATTGTCACAATTGTTGCTATGTTTGAGTCCATTGTGGCTGCCATTACTTCAATCCATCTTGTTGAGGGTCTTCTTCTTTTTCATTGACCCTCTACTTCACCAAGCATGATGTTGTTCTCTAGGGACTGATCCTTCCTAACAACTTGTCCAAAACAAAGTCTTGCAATTCTCTATTCAAAGGAGCATTCTTGTCCTTTTTCCAAGAAAGCTTTGTTTGTTCTTCTGGAAGTTCATACTTTTCAATATTTCTCATACACCGATTCTTCTATGGTCCTCCTTATTCATTGTCCAACTTTCACATACATATGAAGCAATTCAAAATACCAAGGTTGGGATCAAATGCACCTTAGTCATCAAAGTGACAGTTCTTTTACAGCAGATTTGCCTAACGCAATACATTGTTTGATTCCTTGACTGCTGCTTCCATGAGTGTTGATTGTGGATTCAAGCAAAATGAAGTCTTTGACAACTTCAATATTTTTTCCGTTTAGCATGAAGGTATTTATTGGCCTAGTTGTGAGGATTTTTGTTTCCTTTACATCGAGGTGCTATCCGAACTGATGGCTGTGGTTTATGATCGCCACCGGTATTTTAAGTCCTCTTAGCTTTCAGCAAGCAAGGTTATGCCATCTGCATATCTCAAATAGTTAATGAGTCTTCCCCCAATCCTGATGCCACATTCTTCTTCATATAATCCATCTTCTTGGAATATTTGCTCAGCAGACAGATGGAGTAAGTATGGTGAAAGGATATACCCTGACATACACATTTCCTGATTTTAAACAATTCAGTATCCCCTAGTTCTATTTTAACAATTGCCTGTTGGTCTAAGTACACATTCCTCATGAGCGCTATGAAATGTTCTGGAATACCCATTTTTCTCAGTGTTATCCATAGTTTGTCATGATCCTACATAGTCAAATGCCTTGCATAGTCAGTAAAGCAAAAGTAAACATCTTTCTGGGAGTGTGGTGACTCCATACAATAAGCATTGAACTATGAACCGCAAGATCTGCGGTTAGAACCTATCAGCTGCTCTGTGAGAGAAAGATGAGGCTTTCTGCTCCTATGAAGATTTAAAGCCTCGGAAACCAATATAGGGATGCTATGAGTTGGAACTGACACAGCAACACTTACTAACAACAAAAACATCTTTCTTGCATTCTCTGCTTTTAGCCCAAATCCATCTGATGTCAGCAATAATATCACTAGTTCCGTGTTCTCCCCTGAATCTAGCTTGAATTTTTGTCAGGTCCCTGTCGATGTACTGCTGCAACTGTTTTGGGATTCTCTTCAGCAAAATTTTACTTGCTTGTGATATTATTATTTGATAATTTTTACATTCCATTGGGTCACTTTTCTTTGGAATGGGTTCAGATATGATCTCTTCCCATTGGTTGACCAGGTAGTTGTCTTCTAAGTTGCTGCATCAGTTTGTTGAAAGATTTCAACTTGTAATTTGTCAATATTTTTTGTCAGTGCCTTCATTGTAGCTTGGACTTCTTTCAGTATCATCACTTCTTTATCAGATGCTACCTATTGAAGTGGTTGAGCATCGACCAATTCTTTTTAGTACAGTGACTGCGTACTCCTTCCATCGTCTTTAGATGCTTCCTGATTTGTTCAATATTTTACCCATATAATCCTTCAATATTGCAAATCTAGGCTTGAATTTTTTTTTTCAGTTCTTCTAGCTTGAGAAATGCTGAGTGTGTTCTTCCCTTTTGGTTTTCTAACTTCAGGTCTTGGCACATTTCATTACAATACTTGACTTTGTCTTCTTGAGCTGCCTTTTAAATTTTTCTGTTCAGCTCCTTTACTTCTTCATTTCTTTGGGTTGTTTTACTTTCTCTATGATCAACAGTAAATTTCAGAGTCTCTTTTGTCATTAATTTTGTCTTTTCTTTCTTTTCTGTCATTTTAATGACCATTTGCTTTCTTTATGTATGATGTTCTTGATGTCATCCCACAACTCTAATCATTAGTGTTTAATGCATCATATCTCTTCTTGAGATGATCTCTAAATTCAGGTGGAATATATTCAAGGTCATATTTTGGCTCATATGGACTTTTTAATTTTCTTCAGCTTCAGCACGAACTTCAATCTCAGCAATTGATAATCAGTTCCACCATTGGCTTCT